ATGAAAGGCACGACCATGCCCAACTCCCCCCACCACCTCCAACAATTTGTGGACTGGCAGCGGGCGATCTGGCTTTGGGTATATTGCATTGCGGCACGGCGACAAACAGTTTGCGAATTGTATGCCCACTCACTGGTACAGCATATACCTTACAAGTCCTATACGGCCCAAATCTATTGCACAACAACTTCCGCGGATTATTGTTTTCCTTTCGCTGACCCATCGCGGATCTTTCGCGGACACTNNNNTTTTATATAATCCCCACACAAGGACCTTTAGATCAATGCTCATATATATATATATACATAGGCTTCGCTAAAGACCAGGCAATGTTGACGAGCAACGCAGGCGCACCTGGGAGGCGCTGACGATGTCGTCATCTCCGGTGCACCTCAGAGCCAGCGCAGCGCCCCCACACGTTTCGCGCAAGGTCGCGCAGGAAGGGTTGTTCAGCGGGCAAAAGTAAGGAAAGTGATCTTCAAAGTGCATCTATGACGAGTCTATGAGTCATCTATGGGCACCTTTTCTTTTGCGGGCTGTCGTCACAAAAATCATCAAGTGCGCTCGAGCGCATATCTCGGTGAAGAACTGATGAAGCATCTGGCGCATGAGTTGGCCAAGCGCTTGACGAACTCATGTGCCAGCACACGCATGGTGCAATCACAACTCTCGGATAAAGGGACCCGCGTACTCTCTTTGAGACGGACGGATGCCGGCTTTGCGAAGCGGCCGCGATTGCTGGTGCATGATAATTACACGAGGATGTGGTGCAGTTGCAGCCTCATGGTCAGTGTATGCTATGCACCAACATTGTCACGGGAGTGTGCAGGAGAAGACACCTGAATCCTCTTTGCCTACTGAGCTTGAGGACACCCTCTAATTCCCAATAAATATAAATTAGAACCGTTCAGATCGGTTTACATGACATTGCTGCTCCTTTGGTTCTTTCTCGTTGCTAGGGAACATAGCCATGGAAAGCGTGCATCTTGTACGTTCTGACTAGGAAATGTTGGGGTGGTGTGCCCGGGATCTGATCTGCATGGCCGCTTCGGTGGCTCATATACCTCATCGACGTGCCTCCTCGAGTGCCTTGCGGAGGCGGTCCACCTCGTCCTGTCATGGGTGTTTAGGTGTGAGCTGTCAATCAAGGGGATGGCAGGCACGGCATGGATATGATATTGCTATTGATGGGCTTCTGCAGAAGTAGCATGGGCGCCAGAAGTCTTCGGGTCGCTAAGGTGCTTCTGCTGGGTGGCAGCCGGTGCAGGTTTCCGAACTCAGGGCCTGCTTGTACAGGGTCATCACTTGCTTGCTCGCCGCTTCATGATTCATGTCAGTACCAAGTCAACACCGTCACTACGTGTACGTCTGAAGTGGCCCACAGGCGAAACGGAGTAGCGAGTCGAAAGGAGCGTGAACCTCCATCTTGCCAGACCGAGGTCTCATGCGCTAATGCTCAGTACCATCGCGCTGAAACTGAAACACATAGTGCCTGCATGTGCCTGCGCCAACCCCCTTCCAAGTCACTCCACTGCATCCCTTTCCAGGCGTCCTGGTCTTCCGCGAGCGCGGCCTCCTGCTGTTTGGCCCAGCCACTCAAGGACTCCTTGACATCAGCACCGGCTTGCTCGTACCTCAGCGTGTTTGTAGATTGCAGTCTCGGAGAAAGAAACTTCCGTGTGCAATCACACCACTACAGTCCAAGCTGTCACTGGAGCGATCTCCTCTGACGGAACTTGAACGAGCGAAAGATAAGATTCGACAAACTTGTGTAACGCTCGGCCAGGATGCTCCTTGTTCCACTCGTCGAAGGCCTTCTCGGCCTCCTTCACGGTCTCGTAGACACCAAGGAGGTACTTGTTGCCGAAGGAGTCGATGGCCTCGGACTTGTAGAGCTTCTCCGCGGTACCCCAGCTGTGCTTGAACCTGACGCGCAACATT